GAAGAACTGAAGTCAGCAGAAGAAAATGCTAGAATAGATAGAAAATAGTATGGGACTTCCGAGATTTGGGTATTTGTTTATAAACTAAAGTTTACACTCTGAGTTCAACACTGCATATCTGATATAAGTAAAAATAGCACAGATAATCTTTCTTTTTTTATTAAACAGTCATGAAAATGGATGTAGAATTCTAGTCTCAAATTGATTGTACTTTAATATTGGGAGGAAAAAACAAACTCCCTGTCACTGAGGAGAGCCCAACTCATAGCAACCCAATAGGATAGAGTACAACTGCTCTATAGGATTTCCAAGGCTGTAAAGCTTTACAGAAGCAGGTTGTATCATCTGTCTTCCACAGAGTGGCTGGTAGATCCAAACTGTTGAACTTTAGGTTAGCAGCTAAATATATATTTTTTAAATTGTGATTTGGGTGAAGATTTACAGAGCAAATTCACTTTCCATACAGCAGTTCCCATATACTTTGTCTCATGATATTAACCACAGTTTACCACAATGTAACAGTTCCCCTCCCAATTCCTCCCCATAGTTACCTCTTCCCAGTGTCCATCCCTCCATGCACTCCTGCCCCCTGAGCTGTCTCCCTGTGCATAAGCAGCACTTCTTTCTCCCATGATTGTTCTCTCCAAGGAGTGTATCTACTTGAGGTAAATGTTCAACTCATATGCCTGTCTTTTGTTTGGCTGGAAACCACAGGTGTGGGTTCAATTCCAGATCTGAAGGGCAGCTAGGGGCCATAGTCTCAGTGGTTCCACCAGGCTCTATCAGACCAGCAAACCTGGCCCCCTCCCTTTCTTTTTCCCCTCCAAATGATTTTGAGTTTTGTTCTAAATTGTTGTGCCTCTCTATCAAGGATCTCCTACATAGATCCCCTTCCACTGGATGACAGTGGTAGCCAGGCACTGTCTAGTTCTTCTGGTCTCATAGTCGTATAGGCTGTAGATTGGATGTTGTACCAGTCGCTAGGACTAATTGTTTCCATGAATTTTGAATTTTGGTTTTCTTCATTCTTCTTTGCTCTAGATGAGGAGAGACCCATCATTGCATCTAGATGGCAGCTTGTTAGCTTTTAAGATCCCAATCACTACTTGCCAAAGTAGGAGGTGGAACAATGTTTTGTATAGTATATTATGCCAATTGAGCTTGATGTTCCTTGCGACTATGGTCCCAAGTCCACAGGTTCAACTACTCGGTCCCTCAGGGTAGCTGGCTGTGACCAAGCAGTGACCATAACCTTGCCCCTTGTCAGCAGCTAAATATCTTAATCACTGTACCACAGAGCTGCCTACTGGGAGGAAGGTATACTAATAATAACTTTCTAAGCTATGACAGAATGTTTAAGATGGATTGATTGTGAATTAGCAGTTAACAATTAATTTTGAATTAAGTGCTTGCTATTTTAAGAACCAAAACTTCCTCTCTATGCATGACCTTTCCTTTTAGATGGAAAGAAGTAAAGTCCACATTCAGGACTTGGAAGAACTGTTACCAAGCTTTAGCCAATTTTCAGCATCTACAGGTTATAAAGGAGTATATGAGCATTTAAGTAAACACATTCTCAAAACTCAATGCCAGTTACCAAACCAAACTCCCTGCTGTCGAGTCAATCCCTGCTAATAGTGACCCCTCCTTGGGCGTCTGAGGCAGTATCTCTACAGAAGTAGATTGCCCAATCTTCCTTCTTAGGAATGGCTGATGGGTTTGAACCACCAGCCTTCTGGTTAGCAGTGTAATGCCTTAGGCACTACGCCACAAGAGCCATGGGAAAATATCTATTTTCCCATTGGAAGTATATTATGGTATTGAAAAAAATCTCCTTTGTTCACTCATTCATTAGACATTTTTATGGTTACCACTGTTTTGAAATCATAATCAAGTTTTAAAAGATGGACTATTTCAGATTTTCAAAATATATCTAAAACTATGACTTTCAATTATGAGAAATGTGGTATAAAATATTTTTAGGTCACAGCAGTGTTGTTTTAATTAAAAATGTGTACTCAGAATTGAAAAATATCCTAGAAATCCTGTAATTTTCATATACTAAAGACATTTTATATATATATATATATATATTTCCTTTCATTTTTTCTGAATATGAGATGTATAATTAGTTTACTAATCAAAAATTGGTAATATTGCAGTAACTCTCATTAATAAGAAGCAGCAACATGTGTTGGTTACAAGGGCAGAGTTCCTGGGTTCATATTCTGGCCTGTCCTTTGCCAGTCAAGTGACTTGGGCAAATTGCCAATGCATTCTCTGCTTAATATCCTTAACTATAACAAGAGAATGAGGATACAAGTACCACTTCAAATTGTTATGAGGACTAAGCAAAGCCAAAGCACCAAAAGACGAGTAAAGCACTCTGAAGTATTTTTCACCTCAGGAGAAAGGCCTGGAGATACACTCCCAAAAAATCAACCAATGAAAACCCTATAAAGCACAGTTCTGCTCTGATACACAGGGGGTTGCCCTTGGTTGGAATCGACTTGACAGCAAGTGGTTTAGATTTTTGGTGGTTTAATTACTTAACTGTTAGCTACATTTTTTTTTTTTTAACAATTCCAATAATTACAGTGACTATAGGACCTCTGGTAGCACAGTACCTAAGGCACTTGACTGCTAACCAGAAGGCTGGCAGTTCAAACCCACCAGACACTCCTTGGAAGGAAGATTGGACAATCTACTTACATAGTGATACTGCCTCGGAAACCCAAGGAGGGGTTGCTATGAGTCGGGTCCGACTTGATGGCAAATAACAACAACAACAACATTAATATGGGAGCTCTGGTAGCGTAGTGCCTAAGGCACTGGACTGCTAACCAGAAGGCTGGCGCTTCAAACTCACCAGGCACTCCTCAGAAAGAAGGTTGGGCAATCTACTTCCGTAGTGATATCTGCCTCGGAAACCCAATGGGGGGTCGCTATGAGTTCAGTCCGACTCCATGGCACATAACAACAACAACAACAACGTTAATATAAACCATTTTTAAATTTTGGGCATTTAGCAAGTACCAAGCACTCTGGTTCATGGTACACTTATATTATTTTTAACCCTTAAAACAACATTACACAATTCTACTATATACAGAGCAAATCCTTAACAATATGATAAATTATAAATACCACAATAGCAGATAATTCTCCCCCGAAACCTAGGAAAGTATTACTGGAATGTTTAAGTGTCTCCCTCATATGTCTAATGAGAATCACTGCTTATAAGATAGAGATTAGAAAACAGCTACACCAAGCTGAAAAATATCTACTAGTTAATAGGTTGTATTAATGCAATAGCACTGTGCTAAAATAATACATGTTTTTAGTCCAGAAAAGTTACAAATTATTACAGACCATGGACCCTGAAAGTTTAGGGTACACTTAATACAGATTTTACATTGAAGGTATATCTGTATTAAGATCAAAATATTCAACTTTTTATACAAATTTGACAGATTATTTTTGAAAACGTTTTCAAAATAGCTTTCTTGTTTTTGTATTATAAATATGGACTTACAGCAAATTCTCAAGTGCTTCTGTGCCAAACAATATTATTATCCTTACCATCATATAAACATTTCATACATCTATAACATAATATTTCATTATGCAATCCACAACTGCTAGTGAGGAAGATTTTCAATCATAGTTTGAAAGCTAACAAGTTATATAAATTAAAATTTGGAAATCAGATTGATGTTCTTTGCATGTATTTTAGATATGAGAAGCATTTTACATACTGTTATCAATGTTAGTTGCCCTGGAGTTGGCTCTGATTCATGGTGACCTTATGAATAACAGAACAAAAAATCATCCAATCCTGTGCCTCTTCAGGATAGCTGCTGTTTCAGTCCATTGTCTTGGCTACTGTATCAAACCATGCCATTTTCACATACTAAATTAATCTAATTCCACACAATTATTACTGTACTCATTGTTAAGAATATTATTTTAACAATATAACAATGTAAACCTTAGGTATAATTTACAATGGAAACTGAATATAGGATCCTTGTGCTTCCACAAGTTATCAAGGTCTCAAATAGTATTTTTAAACTACAGAAAATACAGCTTTATTTTCATATTTTTATACATATACCTTGATAAAAAATATTCAACATGGTGTACACTGCTAAGAGTTCTGACATGAAATTGAGTTTTAGGTTTTCTTATCAAGGTTGACTTTTCAAATAGGTATTGTCTCCTCTTCACTCTAGTCTTCTTCCCCTCATCTTTTTGATTCCTGCTTCAGCCCACTCCATAGCCCCACTACACGGCCCCCAGATGCATGGCCCGAGAAAGCCGTACCTACCCATTGCAGAGCCCAATGACAGCACTGCTATCTAGAATTCCCCATGTGCAGAAAGGACACCTAAAAAGAGTTGGAAGAAAGCCTTGCTGGAGGATTCAATCAGCTCATCTCCTCTACTGAGAGAGAAACCCTCAAGGGAAAGAGTAAAAAATGCTCTTCCACCTTATGCATAAACTTACTTTCCCCTGATACAAGTGGGAAACTGAAAATTGATGACATTAAGTCTATTTTATCCTTAATTTTGTATAATAATTTAAAAGCATGATCATGTTTCTTCAGTGACAGACTTCTTCAAGTGGAAACGTTCAGTATTACATGGTCCCAATTGGAGAAAATGAAAACACATAATAAAACAAACATTTTAATAAACGAAGATGGGAATGGTTAATTTTTCTTCCCCTTAGAAGTCAGAGGCATAAATTTTACCCTAAAAATAAAAGATTAATTGCAATACATAGAAAGATCAGTTTGTGAAGATTAATTGTCTGAATGCACTTTTATCCATTCCCAGCATCAATATCCAAGTATAAACTAACATTAGTTATTAACACCATGATGGAAGATATATAGAAAAAAAGCATTTCTTTATCTTGACTGGAGAAATGTTGGACCAGCTCTTCCTTTGTCTAGTCCAGAAATTTTTGCTTGTCTAGTTTCTTGGGAATTCTCTTCATTCTTCTCCAACTGGGGGAGGTGGCTCACAGAGCTTGTACAACCTAGAAAAGGCATGGAAAAGCTTGACAGTGACCTGCTGTGCTTCTATGATACAAGGTATCTTTATTGGCTTAACAGATATATTGATTATAATTTCTCAGATCATGAGTAATAATCATATCATCTATCTAACTAAAAACAGTATTTGAATGAGCAAACGCCAACATTTAGGCTCTATGATTTATAAAATACCAATGTCCCTTTGCACATCTAGCTAGCTACTGATTAAGCAATGCTGTACTTTAGAAAGCAGCTGCTTCTGCTCCAGTCCTGCCAACTCCAGCTGTCTACCTTGCTATAAATAGAAATTTATTTTCTGAATTCCAAGAGATAATATGAAAGTTATTATCATGCCTACTATGATTATCTATCTTGTAGCAAGGTAACACTATTTCAGAGGAGTCTACAGATTTTCTGATCAGTTTTTAGAATTTACTTCACTTAATAATATACCTGGGGTGAAGCAGATGGCTTGGGTAACTGATGTGGCTGATTGCTATGGCTTGAATATCTCTCTTACTAAGGATTTTCCTCCAGCTGTGCTCAACTCCTCTCTCTCATAGGACCCTCAACTGCCAACAGAATATGATGGAGAGTCAAGTGGATCAAGGTATGCACTTGAACTGGTGGAGATGTCCAGACAAGCTCTCACTTTGCATCCCCAGTTCTAGGTATTACTCAAATTCCAGTGGCCCACATTCTCCTGGATGGCTAAATCCTAATTTCAGCTGTGAGATAGTCATAGTGACCTCACAGTTCGTATCCACTTTTTAAGACATATCCCTGAGAAAAGAGTGACTGATCTAAAGCTTCTAGGTATTGGGTTATCCCTGTTCCCCTCAATAATGCCCATAGCTACACTGGTCCTATATCAGAGCTTAGACTGATGATCTAAATCTAAGACACAGATTTTGACTTTGTACACATTTAAAAAAAACTCCAAACTCAGAGGTACTTGTGATTCACTCCCTTTTACAGATTAAACTGAGCACAGGTTAAATGAGTAGTTAGCAAATTTAGCAAATTATGTGTCCTCTCCCCTCACATTAAATCCTATGTGAATTCTAAATCAGAAGAATAAGAAAGATTTAATATTCAGATACAAATCCCAGCTAACAAAACTGAACATTCCTAGTCTGGAAGCACATACAATGTATTGCCTTTGGAGGTTTGCTGAAGGTATTTCAAATTTTGAAGTAGTTTATGCTGTTATGTCATCTCCATGGAACAAGATGGATACTTAAATAAGGACCTCTCATATCAGAAAAGCTTATTTCATCTTTCCCAGAGAAAAGAATACATTAAATTGAGCTGATGCACTTCAAAGACTCTTTTGCATCTGAAGCATTTGGTGTTGTTTCAAATTGCATTCCCACGGCTGGGATAATAGACAGCACAATCGAAAGGTTCTTTTCTTCCTTAATTTCTATTCTCTTATTTCTCTGAAAGTATTACCTAATGAGTGAAAACAAAAACAAAAACAAAGTGTCTTTGTTCAGGTAGAACAGAAACAGTAAACTGGGTGGCAAGTGTCTTGCCCTGTGATACCTGGACTGAGCCATCACCTTCTATTATCTCACACAGACATTTCCACATAATGGAACTAATGACACTGGGTAGGTGAGTCTTTGAAATGTCTGCCTTGCAAACTGGAGAAAAGGCTACTCCCTGTGATCAGCTAATGAAATACTAGCTCTGGGTACTGCAGAGCTGGGCATATTTAGCTTCTCTGAGGCTTCCTGGAAGCAACTCAAGGTTATTTGAGTTCAGACACATTTGTAATGGAAAATGTGGAGCTTTGGGCATTTAGAACAGAGAGATGAAGTTTGGAAGCAAAATGTAATAGGTAAGAGTTGGACTTTTACTCTGTGCTGAGGCATTGGATTTTTGGCAGCAAAACTGTTAGGCAGTGGGAGGCCTTTGTTTGCCCACCATCGGGGAGGCTTACTGTATTCTCACTGCTACTCACACACACTAGTACCTCTGCAAAAGAAAAAGCTTGTTTCTGGTCCTGCTTTCTCTCTCTCTCTCTCTCCTTTTTTGTTTGGGCTCAGATACCCATCTTGGAGATGTTCTTTTTATCCTGTATCTAAATCTTCAGAGTAGAACTTTCAAATTAACTCTATAAATTGTGCCTTTCATTCTTCATGGCAAAATAAAAGCTGTGATAAAGAATACCAAAAAGTAAACACTTCTTTCAAGTCTAAAGTATCTATAATATTCTGTCTAAGGTAATTCTCCCCATCTCACTGAAGAGGAAACTGAGTCTCAGAAAGGATAATTGGATTAAATAGGGTTACATAACATAGCAGGAGCTGGGATTCAAAACCATTTAACTGATTCCAAAGCTAGTGCTTTTAACCACTGTAGTATGATGCCTCACAATTAAATAAAGAAATTGAAACTTTCATAGAACAATAATTTCCAGATTTTTGTGACATAATAGAGAAGAGGATCAGTGTGTCACAACTAGTAATATGACATCTGGAATGAAATATTTGGTTCTCAATAAAGGTGTGTTAATTTCTCTGAAGAATCAATGTATGAAAGAACATGCTTCCAACTGCACATTACACACACCTTATCATAATACCCATTCTTGATTGCTCAAATTTATTTTATGCCTTTCTATTCTATTCTTTCTGTCAGGTCACAAGCTCCCTGAGTGCATGAAGTGCCTCTTATCTATCTCAGTATCCTAATGCCAAAATAGTTCCTGATACATAATTAAAGGGGAGTATGTAAAACTCATCAGCTTCAAAATTATCAAACTCCTATACTCCACTCTCCAGCTTTCCCGTTCCTTTAATTTATTACATTTATTCTTTCCGCAGTTTGACTATGGCCAATCCTTTCTTGAAACGTTTCCTTTTGAATTCCGGAATAGCCATCTCCTGTTTTCTTCCTACTTCTCTGTCTGTACATCTCCAGGTCTGTTGTAGCTGCCATGCCTCTGCTTTCCCTGCAATATGGACAATCCTTGGTGGTGTCCTTAACTCTCGCTCATCCCTCTTACCCATTCACTGAAGTAACAGAATTTATTTCCAGTTCTACAAAACACTGTCATCTAGTAGATTCTGACTCACAGTGACCAGGACTACAACCACTCCTTAAATAATGCTGGTTCCACCTATTGTTTTCTCCTAGGCTTCAGATCAATATATTCAACTTCTCACAAAGACATCTCCATGTGGATGTCCTATGAGCGCTCAGACTCAACATTTCCAAGGGGAGCTTTTCTTTACACCTATTGCCATCAAGTCAATTCTAACTCATGACAACTTACAGGACAGAGTAGAACTTACCCATAGAGTTTCCAAGGGTGTAATCTTTATGGAAGCAGTCTGCCACATCTTTCTCCAGCAAAGAGGGTAGTGGGTTTGAACTGCCAAACTTTTGGTTAGCAGCCAGGCACTTAACCACTGCACCACCAGGGTGCCTTACACTTTTCCTTCTACTTGCTCTTCTTCCTATATCCACTATCTCAGTAACCAGTTGAACACTTAGCCCCTGGTCATCCAAGTCAGAGGCTTGGTGGTCATCCTACAGCCTTCCTTTTTCCTACCCTCCTTAATCTATTATTTTCAAAGATTATTAATTCCATCTCTCATGTTGTTTTTGTTGTTAGGTGCCACTGAGTCATTTCCAACTCACAGCAGCCCTATGTGCAACAGAATAAAATGCTGCCTGGTCCTGTGCCATCCTCAAATTGCTACTATGCTTGAGCCTATTGTTGCAGCCACTGTGTTAACCCATCTCATTGAGAATCTTCCCCTTTTATGCTAGCCCTTTACCTTTTCCAAGCAAGATGTCCTTCTCCAGGGATGGGTTCCTCCTGATAGCATTTCCAAACTACATGAGACAAGCCTCTTCATCCTCACTTCCAAGGAGAACTCTGGCTGTACTCCTTCCAAGACAGATTTGTTTCTTTTCTGACAGTCCAACTCAGTATTCTTCATCAACACCATAATTCAAATGCATAAATTCTTCTTCAGTCTTCCTCATTGATTATACAGTTTTCACAAGAATAAGAGGCAAGTAAAAATAACATGGCTTGAGTCAGGTGTACCTTAGTCCTCAAAGTGACCTCTTTGCTTTTGAACACTTGCTGAAAAGAGGTATTTTGCAGCTGTTTCAACCAATGCAATGCATCACTTGATTTCTTGACTGTTGCTTCCATGGACTTTGATTGTGGAGTCAAGTAAAACTAAATTCCTGACAACTTCAACTTCAATATATTCAGCTTTGATCATGATGTTGCTTATTGGTCTGGTTGTGAGAATTTTTGTTTTCATTATGGTGAGTTGCGATCCATACTGAAGGCTTAGTTTTTGAACTTCATCAGTAAGTGCTTCAAGTCCTCTTAACTTTCAACAAGATTGTATAACTTGCATATCACAGGTTGTTAATGAGTTTTCCTCCAATCCTTATGCCACATTCATCTTCATACAGGCTAGATTATGATATTATTTGTTCAACATACAGATTGAATAAGTAAAATGTGAGGATAAAACCCAGATGCACACCTTTCCTGATTTTAAACCACACAATATCCCATTGTTCTGTTTTAACAACTACTTCATGGCCTGTGTACAGGTTCCACATGAGCTCATTTAAATGGTCAGGAATTTCCATCCTTCGCAGTTATCCATAATTTGTTGTGATCCTCACAGTTGAATGCCTTTGTATAGTCATTAAAACACAGGTAAACATCTCTCTGATAGTCTATGCTTTCAGCCAAGCTTCATCTGACATCAGGAATGATATTCCTAATTCCACATCCTCTTTTGAATCCAGCTTGAATTTCTGACAGTTTCCTGTTAATATACTTCTGCAACCATTTTT